CGAGCTCGGTGAGAGAAACCACAGGGCCCCTGGCTTGCCCAAGGCCTGATGAAATGGCTCTGCCGGTTAAGGTGGTGCCCCTTTCTGCTTAATTACTGAAGAGTAATTAGAATTACTCCCAGAATACTGGCAGCCGACGGGAGCCGGCCGCCTCAGTGCTGCCTGGGTTTCTAGGGCCGGGGCAGTGGGGAGAGAGGTGGCTTGCTGCAGTCCTATTGCCATAGAAATGTAAGGGGTCTTTTTAAAGATGGGGGGAGCAAAAGCACAAATAATGCTTTTTCAATTACTCGGGAGGCAAAGGTGCTATTTCGGCTGTGCGGTTGAGGGAGGGCTGAGTAAACGAGCCGGCTCTCACAGTGGATGGGGAGGAAAGAGCTCAGCGGGGAGGGGGCCTGGCAGCATCTTTGCAGTCTCAGTGCCCCCAGCACGCTCCCGGGGTGCCTTGCAGGCACCGCAGGTCCCTCTCCTACCCCACGCTCCTCGCCGCAGCCTGCAGGCATTCCCAGGACTGCTTTGCAGGAGGCACCTGGCAGGGACCTGTCTTTGGGCCACTTTACACAGTGCCCGTGGGACTCGGGGCAGCCGAACCCACTGACACGTCCCATCCCATAAAGGCCACGCCGACACAGGGAGATGAGATGGGTGTCCCCGCCGGCGGCTGGTGAGGGGAGGGTACGTACGTCTGCTGCTGACGGCTTGTCTCTGCTTGTAAATCAGGAGCAAGATGAGGGGCAGGCAGAGGATGCCCACGATGCAGGCGCCCGTTGCCAGCGCGGCGGCTGTGATATCTGCAACGGAAGAGGGCAGAGCTGGAGAGGGCAGCCATGAGGGTTCGCCGTGCATTTCCTTGGTTTCCTCAAGCCATACCAGAAGCACGGGGCAACACCGGCGTTGCCCCACACTTGATGCAATGCGGCTCCCGCACGCACGGGCGGTCGTCTCCTAACGGGATTCACGCTGGGATGCATTGCCAGTTGTGGAGATAAGCTCTAAGGCATCGGTTTAGGACCTTGACCAAAGTCCTTCAATGCTGGAGGACACCTCAAGGTCTTGCTTTGGTCTTCTAGATATAAGGAGAGAAGCAAGGGCCCTGATAAAGCCCTTTGGAGTCAGCAGAAAGGCTCCCCAGAAAGGCTGGCAGCCTGCGGGCGTGTCTCTGGCCATCAAGGTCCATGTGGGACGGCTTGTGGTGGGGTCAAGGGCTGCCTAAATCAAGGGCAGGTTCAGCTCAAGCCCTCCTCTCCAGTGCATCCATCTGGGGAAGCGGCTTCTTGCTCCAGTGTGTGTGTTTTGGGGCAGGGGGGATTTTTTCCCCCTTTTCTTTTTTGCCCGCCAGGACAGGGTGTCCCAGCATTTGGGACTGAGGGTTTGAGACAGAAAGCACTACTCGTGGGGAGGGTGGTGCAGTTTCCCATGGCTGGGCTGGCCCCAACCGTGCTACAAACCAATTTTAGCAAAATCTGCCCATCTAGCAGCCAGCAAAGGGGGCTAGACAGAGGGACCCACGGAGAAACCACCTGCGTAGCGAAGTGTGGGCACCTTCAGCGTCTAGACACGGTGCCGGGGGGGCCTGATGTTGTCTGAGCGCTCAAGCAAGATTTGGGTTTCCCCTGCTAGAGCATCTCTGCTCAGGGCGAGGTGGCATGGGCTCGAGGTGTTGCAAGAGGTGTCTTTGCCTTTCTGTCCCTTCCCATCTGTTAGTGGCAGTGGCTGCTAAATCCCCGATCGTGTTTTGGGGAGGCTCAGGTGCTTTATAACCACAGAGTGAATGATCTCCGTGGGCTTCAGGACAGTCACGTCCAGGTGATGTAGAAACACGGGCCAAAAGAGGCTCTCCTCAGCCTGAGGACGTGCCTGTCAGATGCACCCCGTGGGGACAGCCTCGGAAATCCCCCTCCCAAAACCTGACCGTGAGGTTGCGTCTGGACACCGCTGTGTTTATAGCAAGCGGCCATCCCTAGGGAAATACACAGGCCAGGATGGCGAGCAGTGCGTTGGAGAGAGGGTTTTTTTCCCTTTACCTTTGCTCGTGGTGGTGTGAAACGTGCAGTTTTGAAGCCCTCCTCTGCCTGCGGAGGAGAAGAGAAAAGCATGTTAAATCTCGGGATTCATTCAGGTACCACAGAGCTCCCACACCTGCTAGCTGCGCTTGCCTTTGCTCACCAGCATTGAGAAAATCAGCCCAGAGCATCCCAAAAGCAAGAGTTTGATCTTGGGAAGCTTACACCGAGATTCCTGCCGTGACACCTCGTGGCAGTAGGGCTCATCCCTGGCCATGCAGGGTCTTTTTTTTTTGGTCTAAAAGAAAAAGTATCTATCCTAACGCTGCAGATCAAGGGCAGGAGATGCCCTCCCCTCCCTCCAGCTCGCGCCTCCCCGGGCAGCTTTCCCCGTTGGGCTGCTGCCCCACCGTTATCTATAGCCCCTGCATCCCGAGCAATGCCTGCAGCCCTCGCTTAGGCTTGGACTGCCAGCCAGCTCCTTTTATGTTGAGGTTTGTTTTCCTCTCTTCCAGAAAAAGGTTGAAGAAGATCAGTGAAACTATGTAACATGGATTTTATTGCATTCCAACCTCTTGATTTATTTTTTCTTTCTTTTTTTTTTTTTTTTTAAAAAATGTTCCAATGCTCCCTGGCCCTAATTCAAACCTTCAACATCTGCTGCCCTTTGACTCTTGCAACATGGCTTGGGCTTCAGCATCAGCACGCCCTGCCTCCCCAGCCCTGATGCTGCACCCCACCATCCCCCACCAGCCCTTATCTGCCGCCTTGCCCCGACGCACCCCGGCATGGGTGCGGGACTGCCAGGGGCTCCCCTTTCCCCCCCCCTCACCTTGCTGGATCTGCAGCTCCACGAAGCCGTGAGCGACCTGCAAGGTGTGGGGCTTGCCGTGCTCCCGCCTGGCCTCCACGGCGTAGCAGCAGTAATTCCCGCTGTCCTGCAGCGTCAGGTTCATCACCACGATGTGAAAGGCACCATGGTGGTCGGGGACAAACTCCACCCCGTGATGGCTGGCTTGTCCCCCAAGGGAGGATTTTTGGGTGCCGTTGCCC